GGGATGGTAGAGCACAGGGTAGGAGATAGACACATCATAGTTTGGGTATTGGGAAGGGCAATACACAAGAAGGGGAAGGGGGTGGGAGAACAAGGTAGATAGGGGAACACTGAGGCAGGTTTACATGAGGTAAATAGTGATGTATACTCAACCTTGGAACAACAGGGCTCTGTGCTACAGGGATCGAGCCATAGGTTTGAATGAGTAAAAGCGGGGAAATAATGTTAAGATGCTTGGCTGTCTCATGAATATTGGTTTCCCTTGCCTACTATTGTAAAAAAGGAGCTTTGGTAGTGTTGTGGTTACGAATTGGGCTGCGAACCGCAAGGTCAGCAGTTCGAAACTACCAGCTGTTCTGCAGGAGAAAGATGAGGCTTTCTGTTCCCGTAAAGATTTACAGCCTCAGAAACCCTGTACAGGGTTGTTATGAGTTGGAACTGACTCCACAGCACACAACAACTATTATAAGGAGCTCTGGTAACATAGTGGTTACGAATCGGGCTGCTAATCTCACAGTCAGTAATTCGAAACTACCAGCTGTTCCGCGGGAGAAAGATGAGGCTTTCTGAGCCTGTAAAGATTTACAGCCTTGGAAACCCTGTACAGAGTTGCTATGAGTCGGAACCGACTCCATGGCACACAACAACAACAATTGTAAAATAGACACTTGAGTGAGATAGAAAGGAATATTGGGGAACATGATTACAGAAGGCTTGTAAGCCCATCTTTAGCCTACAATTGATTGGAATTCCTAAAAGGGGTTCTAGAACTTGTCTAATGAACTTGTGGAACCTTTGTAGTGTATAGGACCTTAGGTGGAATCCTGAGCCCCACCCAAAACCTTCTGAGGAGGGACATTCCCACTAGAAAGGACAAGCAGACCAGCTGCAACAGCTGAGGAACAGAAGATACTTCTTGAAAGAACGATCAGCTGGAAAAATCCAAAACAAAAATGACAATCTGCTTGGCTACTACAAGAATAAGTTGTTTGCTGGGGAGCCATCAAGGCAAGTAATCAAGTCCCTTCAGAACAAACCCCCCTCCAAGACTGAAACTCAAAGGGTGCACACAAGCAGGATGTAAGCTTGCTGGTGACCAAATTGGTCTACTGGTGAGTGGAAAAGGCAGCAATGAAAATATGGGCTGAGCTCAGTCATGTTCTATAGACTCCTGTTGACCTGGAGATGAGAGAGAGAAGAGGGATGGAGAGTCTGAAGTGTGGTGAGACCTGAGGACTCCTGAACCCATGGACAAGGACATAGCCATGGAGGGCTAGAACTGAGAGAGAAGCATCCAATTGATATGAAGTAAGGGGATACGCATAAGAACACTCAAACTTGCAGATAGTACCCATTTGACCTAGCCTCGATGGCTTGATAATCAGAACTTGACTAGAGAAAGAAAAAATAAATTTTGATAAAGGAAACAAGTGTAAATTGCTACAATTGGATGAACTTGACCTATACTTACAGGTGTAGCTCAAAATACCAACTGAGAGGGAAGGAGTCTTCATATCAAGTATCAATTCTATCCCCTCTGTATACGGGGTTGATAGGGACAGGCAACTTAGACACTGGCTACCTAAAATGAGGGGGAGAGAGCCATTAGAGAGATGAACATCAATACAACAGTGAGATATCATCTTACAATAGCATTAATTACAAAGCTCAAAAAAACAGAAAACAACAAATGCTGGCAAAGGTGTGGAGAAACTTGGGTCCCTCCTACATTGCTATTGGACTGTGAAATTGTGCAACCACTGTGAGAAATGGTATAGCACTTTCTCAAAAAGTTGTAAACAGAAATATCGTATGATCCTTCAATCCCTCTACTTGATATATATATCCTGAAGAAATAAGAGTTGTGACATGAATAGATATATGCATGGCCATGGTCACTGCAGCATGATTAACAACAGCAGAAACATGGAGACAGTCTAAATGCCCATCCACAGAATGGTTCACACAAACTTTGGTATATATACACAATGGAATACTATGCAATGTTTAAGAATAACAATGAAACTGCCAAACTCCTCTTATGGATGAACCTGGAGGACATTATGCTGAGTGAAATTAGTCACTATAGACACATGTTTTATTAGACCACTGCTATATAAAGTTAAGAAAAGGTTTTCTTGCTAAATGAAACATTCTATGATGGATAACAGGGGGTGGGGATGAAATTATTCACAGGTTAGAGGGTACACATATGGGTAACGGGACATGCAGAATACAACAAGAGGTTGGCAGAGCAAAGATGGAGGTAGCAAGAGACACAGGGTTAATGTAAGAGTTGGTACAAGGAGGGGATTGCAATCATTATAATGAAGCAAAGTATATGATTTTCTGAATGAAAAATGGGTGATCTGCCTGTAAACCTACTCGCAATTCACACACACAAAAATTTTTTTAAATGTGTACTTTAAAAGGCTGAATTGTAAAAAAAAACACCTAGATTCTTAACATTACATCCTTGAGAATACTCACTAAATTTCTGTCAAGACAGCTTTCTATCAATATTTTTTTCATATCTCATTAAAGTTAAATGAAACTGAGCTTTGTAACTAGAGAATTTTTTAGTCTTATTAAAAAGATAAAATTTTACCATATTTGTATTGCTATCCTCCATACAGATACCACATTCTCTAATATTTACAAAAAGAAAGAGAGAAGACTTAAAAAAAGAACTGAGACCTACAAAGACCAATATAAAGATGAACAGAGGTTGGAATGAAGATCTGGGCAGACATTTAAGTGAAAAATCAGAACTAAGATTTGAAGGACACTAATATGTATGAAAGGAGCTCTGGTAGTGTAGTGGTTACGAATCGGGCAGCGAACCTTAAGGTCAGCGGTTCAAAACTACCAGCCGCTCCACAGGAGAAAGATGAGGCTTTCTACTCCCGTAAGGATTTACACCCTCGGAAACCCTGTACAGGGTCGCTATGGGTCAGAACCGACTCGATGGCACTTAACAACAACAAACAAATATGTATGAGGCCATATGGGAGTCCTGGGTAGCAGGAATGGTTAAGCACTAGACTACTAACCAGGAAGCTAGTGTCTTGAACTCACTCAAAGGCCTCTCAGAACAAAGTCCTGGCAATTTTCCAAAAGTTTACAGTCAATTGCAGTTCTAGTTTGCAATACACGGGCACCACGAATCAGGATAGACTGGATGGCTAGGCAACTGGTTTGATTTTTGGTTTGGATGAGATCATATAAAACCAGCAATTCACCATATATGTGTTTTGTTGTTTTTAGGTGCCAACAAGTCAGTTCCCACTTATAGCACAAAGTATTATGTGTTGTTGTTAGGTGCCATCGAGTCTGTACCGACTCATAGTGACCTTATGCGCAGCAGAATGAAATGCTGCCCAATCCTGGGCTAACCTCACAATTGTTGCCACGCTTGAGTCCATCGCTGCTGCCACTTGGCCAATCTATCTCTTTGGGGATCTTCCTCTTTTTCTCTGACCCTCCATCTTACCAAACATGATATCCTTCTCCAGTGACTGATCCCTCCTGACAATATGTCTGAAATATGAGGGAGAAAGTCTGTCCATCTTGGCCTCTAAGAGCACTCTGGCTGCACTTCTTCCAAAATGGATCTATAGGGGTTTTTGGCAGCGAATGGTACCTTCAATATTCTCCACCAACACCATATAACTCAAAAGCATCTATTCTTCTACAGTCTTCCTTATTCACTGTCCATCTTTTGCATACATATGAGGTTATTGAAATTACCATGGCTTGGGTCAGGCACACCTTAGTCCTCAAGCTGACATCTTTGCTCTTCAACACTTTAAAAAGGTCTTGTGCAGATTTACCCAATGCAATACGTCGTTTGATTTCTTGACTGCTGCTTCTGTGAGTGTTGATAGTTGATCCAAGAAGAATGAAGTCCTTGACAACTTCAATTTTTTTTCCATTGATAAGAATGTTGTTTATTGGTCCAGTGGTGAGGATTTTTGTTTCCTTGACATTGAGATGCAACCCATACCGAAGGCTGTGCTCTTTGATCTTTATCAGTAAATGTTTCAAATCCTCTTCACTTTCAGCAAGCAAGGTTGTATCATCTGCATATCACAGGTTGTTTATGAATCTTCCTCCAATCCTGATGCCACATTTTTCTTCATAGAACCCAGCTTCTCGGATTATTTGCTCAGCATACAGGTTGAATAAGTATGGTGACTGGATACAACCTTGTCGCACACCTTTTTAAATTTTAAACCATTCAGTGTTCCCATGTTTTGTTCAAACAGCTGCTGCTTGGTCCAGGTACAGATTTCTCATGAGCACAGTTAAGTGTTCTGGAATACTCATACTTTGCAATGCTGCCCATAGCTTGTCATGATCCACACAATTGAAAACCTTTGTGTAGTCAATAAAGCACAGGTAAACATCTTTCTGATATTCTCTGCTTTCAGCCAAGATCCATTGGACATCAGCAATGTCCTTGTTCCACAGCCTCTTCTGAATCCGGCTTGAACCACTGGAAGTTCTCTGTCAGTGTATGATTGTAACTGTTTCTGTGTTACCTTTAGCAAAACTTTACTAGTATGGGATATCAATGAGATTGATGATTTCCACATTCCGTTGGGTCATATGAAACCCATAAAACGAAAACAAAATACATAACAGTGTCTCTTAGCATCTCTTTCTTACCCATTTTCTCCAAACCCGTACTCATATCAATTGTTGTTTTAAGTGCTGTCAAGTCGGTTTTGACCCATAGCAACCCTGTATAAGAGGGTTTCCGAGGAGCGGCTGGTGAACTTGATCCGCCAATCTTGCAGTTCAAACTTGGAGTTCAAATGACTTTGTAGTCAAGCATATTAACCTGCTGTGCCACACCAGGACTGCACTCATCTGCAAGACCAAATATGTCTCTTTTAGTGAGAATTATGACAGAAGAATTTAATATACTTTTGTTTTGGTTACTGACTTGAATGACTATGAATTTTTGACAGAATTGCTCTGGGTTGTTATTCTCAGTTGGGGAAGCAGCCGCAGGAAAAGCATCTCGAAGCCTTGCCCAGCACATCCCTGGACCAGGTGGCATAGAAGGGATGAAAGGCGCCGCTGGAGGGGTGATGGGAGAGCTGACGCGTGCACGGATTGCACTTGATGAAAGAGGACAGAGGCTAGGGGAGCTGGAAGAGAAAACTGCAGGCATGATGACCAGCGCAGAAGCATTCTCCAAACATGCACATGAGGTATACTACCACCTACGGAAATATAGGCAACTCCAGGTGTTAGTCTCTTTACTTAAGCTTTATATCTTCCATCATAAGTTCAGAGATGCCACCAGGGTGCCCTAGGTCTCATTCTTAGTACACAATTTTCCAATATTTGGGAGATTAAGGTTTAAAACACTTCTAAATCCTTCTTTATCCTAGAAGATAATGAAATGAAAATGATCTTATGGTTCTGACACTTTAGATCTATGTTGTGTATTAGCTGCTTAAAAGTATGTAGTAGCTCCTGTGATCTTACCAGGAAGGTGTAGGGGGCAGCAGAGGCTGGCTCCACATCCTCCAATTTGTCTCAGCCTTTACAAGTCATTTCCTTTCAGTCTTTACAGCTTGTTTTGTTTTTGTTTTTAAAATCTTCCACGGAAACAAAAGGAAGTCATACTGTTGTATACATTTTAAAATTTAGTTAGTTACACATGATTAGCTCAATATGGTCTTGCTTTGACTAACATTTTTAAAGATTTAAAAGATATCTTATGACTTTTTTTTCCTTTGCAGTTAATGCTCAAATATAAGGATAAGAAATGGTACCAATTCTAAACTTCTAGAGAAGCTGCAACTACTTTCAGAAACCATTATTCAGGGAAACCAGATTTATTCCCAGCATCACCATTCAACTTCTAGAAGTCAGTTTCTTCTACAAAACGTTCCATTACAGTCCACCTGAAGCAGTCATTAAGGAGACTATGAAAGATACTGTGTGATTCAAAGGTTGGAGCCCTGGTTACAATTCCCAAGATCTGGTGGAATCTGCCTTTCCCATGTGGACTGGAGCTACCATCTAGGCATGCTGTTTGCTAAGGATTTACATTTAGGAACTCTGGAGAGTCTTCTGGTTTGAAAAAAAAAAACAACAACAAAAATCCTGTACAAACAAAAGCATTAATGCACTTAATGAAAAAAAACAAATCTTTGCATGATAAATTAACACCTAAAGAGGAAAAGGAAAAAAAAAAGCATGTTGTGACAGAAGAAGAAGAAGAAAAAAAAGATGTATGGTAAACTAGTTTTATAAATTGGGCTACACCCTACAATTTAAAAATCTGCATTAGAAGATCAGTGCATTTCAGTATATTTGCCATACCCAACTGAAAAAGAAAACAAAACAACCCCCTAAAGCCCAGAGTTCTCTTCTCTTCTTTAACTTTCCTTAAACAAAAGACCAGCACATTATTGATCTTATGACAGGAGTCTGATTAACATTCTTCTCTCTCCATATTTTACATCATTCACAGTTTTCAATCATAATTAACTATTGCCAATACAGTAAATTATTCCCAACACAAGTATTTCCATTCTTATCACATCCAGAATGAATTGTTATTTACAACCATGCAGGTTTAGGTCCTCTCAAAGCACTTTTTCAGCCTGACTTGTACTCTGCAGGAGAGGTGATGATAGATTGGGGGAAATGAGACTGTAGGACCATGCAGTTAGTTTTGAGAACTGATTTCATAGAAAGTGAAATCTCACACATCCTAGTTTCAGCTTCAAAAGTGATATGTTTTTAAACACAGTATATTACTGTGCAGACCCAGTGGAGTCTTCAAAGGTGCTCCTAGCAGCCTGACATTCACAGACCAAACTGGTCATTCTCTTTAGAAACGATCCAGTAACACCTTGGTTAATGTTTTGAGAAAAAGATTCTCTGATTTATTACATTTCTGATTAACAAGGGCTTTCATTAGAAAATAGTTTTCAGTTTAGTACTTGGTATTGAAAATCTTTATAAAATGTAGTGGTATTTTTAGCTGTCTTGGCCTCAGTTGTTAACATTATGAACACCAGAAATATATGGGAAATTTAATGATAAAAAATCATTTTATCACTCATTAGGCAAAATAATAAAAGCCATGGGATTATGTCAACAGATGCCAAATGTCTATTCCTTATTAAAAACTCTTTGTATCATAACACAAAAGTCAAAATAAATCCAGATTTAACAGGGAATCCTTAAAAGTGAAACACAATAAAGATATCAGCTGTTATTTAACATGAGTCTGGAAGTCAAGTCACAGGAGTAAATACCCATCCTGCAAATATGCTAGTCCTACAAACTGAATCTTTAAGTATTTTAATTATTGAATTTTGGTTAATCAGGATATTACTGGAATTACATTTGTGTTTCTTAAGAATTCACCTTCTTGTCTGAAGTCCAGATTATTTTAATAGCCAAAAATATCTTCTTTGGTTTTTTTTTTTGTTTGTTTCTTTAGATGCTGCTTTTTTTTTCCTTCACGGCCCATCCTTTATAATGTCCTTTGTAATTTACAAATCATCTTTGTAAAGATGATTGAAGTAGCCAGAAAACGTATGCTGGGAAAGCATCTCTGAGAGTCCTTCAGTGCTCCTGAGGTCTTCAAAGAGCCTCTGCAGACATTTCCCAGACTTTTATGAACATCCCTAGTTTAACAGCCTGACTTGGGAATACAGACATGGCACATAAAATCACATGGTAAAAATATCAAGGACACTTGAAACCAGGATTTAGAAAAACACTGGCAGCTGTACCATCAGTATCAAGGACCCAGTTTTCTGACTTTCTGAAATGTTATCATCTCTATATTTAAAAACAAAACCTAAAAGGGTGAAATATTAGTTGATATTAGAAATAATGAAATTCCATCTAAAGTGGCATCAAATTCAATGACTATCTCCAAAGCCCCCAGTAAAATGTGATTTACTGTGTTTTCCATCAGGGTTTCTCAACAGCAGCACTATTGAGAGAGAGTTCTTTGTTGTGAGGACTGTCGTGTGTTATAGGATGCTTAGCAACATCATTGGCCACTATCCACTAGATGCCTGCAACAACCCAGTAGTGACAATCAAAAATGTCTCCAATGTTACCAAATTTGTGCCCAGTTGAGAAACACTGTCCTACATCACTTAGGAGACAGTCAGTGTGAATATTTTATATATGCTTTGTTTTATAAAAGTACATACCGTACATGCACAGTGTCTTATCAAGATAAATATTTACACTCAAAAGTTACCTGTGTGGTTCACATGCAATAAAATACTACTTTGGAGAAAGCTTATATGAATTAGTAAAAAATTTACAGAATATTCTACAGCATACAAAGAAACTACCATAAAGGACAATATAATATTTCACAGCAGAAGTGCTTAGAGTTTTGGCTTCAAATGAATAGATCAAATGTTTATAATTAGCACATCAATTGAAAGTAAACAGGTGCTTCTGACATGCCTGAAAAGAATAGGTCCTTTTAAGTAGTTTAATATGCATTCCAAAATTGTTTTTATAAACCCTTTCTTAATGTAAGGGTAACTTTATCCCATCAACTCCTGGTTAATGAAATCCAAATTAAAGTGGTCTTACTGTATTGAAATTATTTTTATAATTCAAAGAGATAGCAATAACAAGAATCTAACATGCATAGGCTTTTTCTCTTTGAACGTTTCCATTCCATTCTATTGCACTGATTTCAGCATAAATACAAACACACATCACCACCATCCTTGAAAAATAAGTACTATTAATCTATAGAATTTTTTGCATCTTTCTTCCTTGCCTTTATGATTTAAATATCTTCCCCCTATCTTGAAATGTAAGAAAAATATTCCTAGTAACCTAGAAGTAGGAGTGAAAATGACTGAGCCTTAGTTTTCATAAAAATTATGTTAAATCTTCTAAGGTATCATAAGAGGACATGGCCAGCAAACTACAGTGTCAACAAGTGGGCCTCATCTCCCTTGGACTCCAAGATATAAGGCCCTCTTAGCGTTCCAAAAGAATATGGACCTTTTAATTACATTCATCAGTGAGAAACTGGGAGTATTTGTTTTCTGGTTCTAATCACAGGAGCAATAATCCCTACCATGACCAGCCATGGTGGGGAGGAATGACTCATTTATCATTTACTTTAAGCAGTGATACTGACTTTGCTCCACACACTCCCTTGAGCCCCCAATCACCATCAGGGTCACTGTCTGACTGCAATTTCAGGAAGAGTGACAGAAACTCAGATGTTTCCAGTAATTCAGTCATAAAGACAGGAGAATTACTCAAAGAGATGAGTAATTTTCAAGTTAATAAATCAAAATACAGGTGGTCTTATCTCTCAAAAATTTAAGTGCTTTTGAGACAAGTCTAATACAGGAGATCCTTTTTCTGTGGCCCATATGTCCAGTTTTAAAGATAACATCTGTCTGTTATTTACATGTAAGGGACAACCACGGCTTTGAGAGAGAGAGAAACAGCAGTATGTGTAAGGGTGGGCTGAAGATGATTAAGAGACATGAGATTCTTGTTTATAATCTGGGCAGAAGGTGAAAATGGAGATCTGGGAAAGTTTAGTTAAAACTTTGGCTTAGGATCACTGAGTGGTCACAGCCTGCCCTTGTGGGGGGAAAAGAACCCTGGCCCAGAGAGGGCACATTAGTTCAGAGAGCTCAGTGTCAGATGAGGGTGAGGCACTTAGGTCTTACTCTTTGTGTCAGGAGAAGTGTGGTAGCCTTCACAGCCTCTTCACCTTTGTCTGGAGCCCTCACCACATTTTGGGTTGGGTACTAGTTCATGTGCACACTGCTCACAGCCAGCAATGCTCACCACTAAGTCAGGTAGTTGTATTGGATATTAACTCCAGTATGCCATTCCAGGGAGTGTGGTTATCAGCATAGCCCTGAAAAGATGAGATGCAAAAGAGCTAAGATCTGCTGGGAAGAGCATAGGTGTCAGCTTGGTACCTGAGGGTGAGGGTGAGGAGGGACATGGGAGCCAGAATAAAGTGGAAGAGGCACTGATGAAGAACCAGAAGCATAGGTGGTTGCCTTTATTTTTTTGCCTAGAAAAGTGATTCTCATCCTTGGCTGTGCTTAAGAAATATCTGAGAAGCTTTGAAAATTCCCTATTATTTTAAGCCCCTAACGTGATTTCAATCCAGCTAGTGTTGATAACCACTGCTTTATTATGGCCAACTTGAAAAGAATCCCTTGTCTATTTTGACCCCATCTTTCAGGGCTCAGGGAAGGCAAGTTGTGGGATTCAAAGTCTTGGCTGGATTGATACTTGTTGTGTGCAAATTTCTGACCAGGCAGTGTCACATTAATTCTTAATAACTCTGTCTTTGCAATATTCTCCTATGTCACTTGCTCATTAATTATTCTAATTCAGGTATCTAGGCTTTTGATTCCTTCACATATGATGATACCACAAGCTACCAGACATAACCCAATAAATTTGACAGCACGTAAAGCTAAATGGGATTCTCAGTAGTTGGACAGTTGTAATTCTCAAAACAAGCATTTACTAAATCAGGTCCAAATTAAATATTCATTCTTCTTTTGGAGGATACATGGGTACCAGGTACCTGTTCTGATACAGGTTTATTTTATTGGCGTTGGTCTTAGCAATAAGGGAGAACTAACTCTTCCTGTTGTCTTAGCTCTCACGACCACTTGAATTGACTGTCTTAGTTACTGGATGTTTGTTTAAAGGGAAAAGAATGCCTGTAACTCACTATCTGACCTCCAGTGTCCTAAAAGAGTGCTTCCACCACCAAAAGGGGAGAGTCCATCCTCTCCAAGACTGAAAGACACAAGGAGAAAAAAATCCAGAGTTCTCTCCACCCATAGTGCTTCCCTCTGGTCATGGCCCACCTTTCTCAACTACAAAGCCAGAAAATAAACTAGCTGGTGGTTTTCAGTTGTACACAGGATCAAAATCTCTATTATACTTTTTAGTAATTATGTGATGTTTTATTCTA